GGATAATATTCAATTGTCATTTGTTTTCGACAATTGTTTTCTTCGTCTATTAGTAGCGGCTTTGATATTAAATCAAAGCCGAAGATGATGATAACGCTGCAATGCAAATGATTCTCAATATTAATTTCTTTATCGTTTTTTCAAATTTTCATGAAAATCTTCTACGTTTAGTTCCGGTGATTTAACTTCTTCAAAGATATCTCTGGATGCTTTATTTTCTTCTTCAATCGGTTCCAAGATCTTCTCTTCAGCTATTTTTCTTTTCCTTTGAACTCTAGTAGAGACGGGCATTAACCTGGAGGATGACTACAGTTCCTTCCTTTTTATTCAGGTTTATTTCCTTTCCTTTTTATTCGTGCAAAAGTTCGATTGCCTAATAAATACCTTCCTTTGTCGAGTTCATTTCTAATAATGGCAGCCTTCAGTTATTACTCGCCCAAGATCGCAATTTAGTTCGATCTCAGCCAATGGTAAACAGGTTGGATTCAAATCTAATGGCTGTTGCACCCACACATTTTCACCTGTCAGCATTTCCGGCGTGATGTATTTGCGACAAACTATATCAATACTAGCACCCTGAATCCCTTAATATAGGAATTTTATGACCATTTACGTAACCCATACTAGTATAAGGTAATAGAAATTTATCCTCTGGTTTTGCCCTAATTCTGTTAAGATTAGCAGGAGATTCAGTACTATTCTTAAGTTTTGGACATTGGGGTCTTAAATGTTGATAGGACCCACACTGATAGCATTGTGGCGTTTTTCGTTTTTCATATTTATCATCTGGACGTGGACTTCTAGGTCTATGAAACCAGCTTTGCGAATTAAATCCTGATGACAATTTTTTTTCAGTTTTATTTTTATTATCTGAACTCAATTTACCATGAGTTAGTGCATTGTATCTTTCTTTCTGCCGATCCATTACAGGCTTTTTTTGAAAGTTTCCGCAAACGTTTTCATAGGCATCAAGTTTTTCAGATAATTTTTGAGATGAAATCATCTCTACCCATTCATCAAGAAAATGATCTCGAATTTCAGGAGGAACTCGACGTTTAAGTTGGTCAAGCACCATCAAATCTAGCAACTGATCAAAAGTCTTAACTCCTAGACCAGTCACCCATTCTTTGCAATAATTTTCTATTTCATAATTGAAATCCACCCATGTGGATTCGGTACTTTTTTGATGTTTCATAAATTTCTGCCTAAACTTTTCCGGGCTTAATTTAAACCGTCTTAACAATAAATTTTTCACGTGTTCATAGTCTTTAGCTTTATCGGAGGGTTCTCTAGCTATTAACTGGGTTACTTCGTAAGGAAGTAGTCCTAGTAAATGAGATACAAATTCTTCCTTTATCAATTTTAGCCCATTCTGCTTGCCTTTCAAACAATAGCAATACAGACTGATATCTCCTTTCTTGTCATCGAATTTCTGCATAAGGTGACGCAGCTCCGTTTTCGGCCGGATCTGTCCGGTATTTTGAGACTTTGTCTCTGCTTCAAGTCTTAATCTCTCTAATTCATACTGTTCGTTTCTTCTCCGCTCTTCAGCTTCTTCCTGTCTCCTACGTTCTTCTCTTTCCTCCCTCTCTTTCCGTTCTTCTCTTTCCTCCCTATCTTTCCTTTCTTCTCTTTCTCTTTCCTCCCTCTCTTTCCGTTCTTCTATTATTGTGTCTAAAACTCCTTTGACGAAGACTTCATCATAATCTCTACTTTCAACAATTTTCTGTTTTAAATCAACTATTTTCAAATCTGCAGTCACATGAACTCCCAGTTCAGCTGCGAGATTTTGCAAATCTTCCTTACGAGCTCTTCCTAAGTAAGACATTGTTTCTATGTTTAAAATTAACGAACACTGTGTTCCTATATTTCCTCAAAATAGCTCAATTCAAGTACTTTAATTAATTAATGCAGTCAGAATCACGAAATTAAATGCACTTTGTTAAGTACGTATACCGCAAAAGAAGTATTTAAATTATATGAAGTTCATTCTCTCTACCACACATTAATTTGTGATTAAAATAAGAATAATAACATAGAGCAATATATATATCTACCGTCTGCACAACTAAAATGAATATTAAATATAATATTCAAATACGGGTAATAAATAAGACAATTTATTATTAACAGGAAGTATAATCTGGTATCACTATATTATGTTCAGTGATGACTAATAAAATAAAATACGCACGATTATTCGATCTCGCCGGTGCCTCCAAAATAATTAAGACTGTGATGCTTCTTTGGCGAAATGAAGCAACTCCAATGATGGAACACAGCAATAACTTTTATTTAACACTCAAAATGGCGACATACAACAAAAAAGAAAACATATTCTATCATTTAAAAATAAATTACATTCTTCTTCGGCGAGAGTCGCACGAGGCACTCGAGTCTGGTTTCAATATTGCCATTCACAATACCTTAATGTTCATCTATTTAAATTATTTAAACTACAAGATTTTAATATTATTTAAATCTGTTACAACCGGTAGGTAATACTTTAATCTGCTCTTTTTTTTCTGAATGTTTGGTCATGGTATTATTCATTGCATGTATTTTTATAATACATATAGAATACTAATATTTATATTACAAGTGTCTTTTTTCATTTTTAAGTGCTTTGCTTGTTGATATTCTCAAAATTGCATCTGATAATTAGTGCTATTATGTATATAATAGATATAAATATAATAGACGAATATATTAGATCAATATATTTTTAGTACATAATGATTCACTATCATTTTTATGGGAAAAAAAAAGACACTTTTGACTGCACAGATTTTCTGGAAATCCCAAGTTAAACACGTATGAAATCATTCGTTTACAATCAATGAACTTTAAAATCAGCTACCTGTCGCAATACAATAAAACACAGACACAATTTCCTACAACAACCCGCAGTTCCTCCTTTACATAAACAAGACATTGTTTCTAAAAAATTTTACTTTTCCTTTTTAACAATGAAATGTCCTTCGATTTCATGCGATCAGGATGCTATACAACTTATCCTTAAATAGGAAGCCAAAATTTGTAAATTAAATTTTTCAAGTAAAATTTCGTGCATTATCAAGTAATCCGCTTTTTAAAATTTTCTCTACTTCAGTAACACAGCGAGAATTTACGCCTCCTTGAACAAAATCAAACATTTCGGAACAGCTAAGCAACTCCATTTTTGAATGTACGAAGTCAGATCACAAATAAAAATACCGGTTTTTATCCGTCACATTAATGTGTGAAACCGTCACCTATAGGTGAATTGAAAGGAAATGTTTAAGAAAAATAGGGAGTTGTGTTTGTTTGTGTTTGAGGGCGCTGCGATCACCGAGGCAAGCGGCTGGACGTTCGCAGCGCTCCGTAAAAAAGTGAAAAAAATTCATTTCCCCTTGGGGATTATCAATTAAATTACTTTGAAATACTGATTTTTCTACAATACCTACACGTTTTCAAAAGTTTTTCAGTTGCGATGTTGATGAGAATGAAACAGCGGACAATGTGAGGAAGTACAACGAAAGGCTGGAATTTTAAGATAAGTACCCTTCTTTCATCTAAACTCAATCAAATTTCTATAAATGTTTATGAATTATAGTGCTTTCTATAGTGCCTTTAAATCAATAAATTTTAACTTTTAATCAGTTTTTAGCATTAAAAAATACTTGAAATTGCTTATTGCCTGTGGCTTCCTTTGTTAAACAATTCCGAACAGACGCCAACGTTATCAGTTCACGTCTGTCGTCACTTACAATTGCTTTGAGGAATCTCGTGAGAGGGAAAATAGGGGACTCACGGCATCGCGCTATTTCCTCTCGGATCCTCTGGATTCTTTTTTTTTTAGATCGCTTAAATATTTTTTGCCTTTAAATAATATTATACCTCACCGATTTTTTCTCATACTGTTCCTTGCTATCTGTTAAATGTCCATATGTAACGGATGGATTATTCGTCACTGCCTTAAATAAACTCTTAGAACTATGAGCTTATATAAACAACAGTGTCCCTCATTGTGTAATTAATTAAGTAATTAATTGTGGTAATTAATTAATTAAGTAGTAATAAATTATGATAGCAAATAATAAATCTTGTAATAAATTATGATATATAAATAATAAATACTATGTTTAATTTGTGTTTTTAATACATATACTCAGTAATTTACACACACACACATATATATATATATACATCTTTTTTTTTTTTTTTTTTTTTGTGTGTGTGTGTTGTGTGTACGGTTGTGGTCTTGTATTGTATATGGTTCTATGTTGTTTGTCTGCTGCTGTTTTTTGAAAAATGTATGAAAATGTTGGGAACGAAAATAGCACAAGTTACTTTAGTTAAATTAATATATACGTATGATGACTTTTGTTGATATCTCAGGATGCAATACATATTACTTTGCATATACTCAGCATACATATTACTTTGTATTTCATGCTAAATACCTTGATACGAAGCAATTTAACACCGTCAATATTTTTTTCTCCTCCAGTAACACATCTATTCATCATTACCAAACACACTCACCACACACACACACACACACTTGTGAGACACTATTTATTGTAAATGAAGACAAATTTTCCTCCTTTTAACTACACTCATGGACACAATCGTATTTTAGGATATTTTCTACTTCTTTTCCTTTTCTTTCTATAGGCCCTTTTTTTTTCCCCTCTCTATTATTTTTGGGATATTTATTTTAAATTTTATTTTGTCCCATCTTTTCTTCCTGACCTTTTGAAGTCGTGCAAGATGTACGAAGTTCCCTTTTTACTCTCCTCAAATACGAAATTGCCCTCTTTCTATATACCTTTCCTTCACACCTATGCTTGATTTTTCGCCCATCGGTGCAAAAAGACTTAGCGGGTGCAAAAACAAGACATCTGTCTACTTTGTCTGTCTGTCTTTAAGAAAAATATCCATTTTATGCCTCGCAAAATCATAACATAAGAGAATATGCTCTTATTGCAGTAAAATGTTTATGAATTATAGTGCTTGCAATACAGGAATACCTTGCAAAATTCAATATTTGTCTAGAAATTTCTGTACCTGTATGACGGGCGTTATTCTTCCACTACATTAACTGTAACCGATATATACTCCTTTTTATCCTTCTAATGGCTGCTTGTGCAACATAAATTTCGAAGGTCAGATTCTTTTTGAAATTACTAATGTATCTAATATAACTTTTATTTATGGTCTTGCTTTCTGTAACTGTTTCTTGTATGCTAGAGTATCACAATGGAAGATTAATTCTATATTTTGAAAAGGCATGATTTTTACTTTGAGAGAATTAGTAAGATGGCTGGGTTTAACTATGATAGAAATGCTCTTAAATTTGATTGCCATTTCTGTATTTTCACTTATGGCAACTCTAAAACTCGAAAATGAAATCGCGATGTCATGGTGGTCAACTTTTGTCCCCTTATTCATATGTGACGGACTTAATGCTTATTTTTGTGTTATCGTTTTTATCCGTCAGTATTTGGAAGGTATGTACAAGGCTGCTGCCTTGAGATCATCTTGGAGTTTCATACAATTATTATTAGTATTTTTATTCAAGTTATTACTTTGTCTTAAATTAGAAGGACAGAAAAATTTAGTATATTCAGAAGTGTTATCACCACTATTTATTTTGCTGATGTTGATTATGGTTAGAGCCTGCCATTTAAATTAAACAAGTATTAGGTTGTGGAACCGAACTTAAATTATATTTATCAATCATATGTGAACTGTGCATTTTTTTCAACTCTAGAGAAAATGAAAATTTGGACATCGGAGCATACTTTCCAGCACCCTTGGGAGACTGTAACTCAAGCAGCTTGGCGGAAATATCCAAATCCAATGAATCCTGCAGTTGAAGCAATCGACATCGTCGATAGAAAAATTTGCAATGGAGTACTCAAAACTCATCGTCTCATCAGCTCCAAGTGGGGACTACCATCCTGGGCCTCCAAACTTCTAGGATCAGACAAAACATGTTACGCCAGTGAACACTCTGAAGTCAACCCTAAAGATAAAGTTATGACATTACAGACTCGAAATCTTACATTTTGTAACGAGGTGTCTGTGGTAGAAAAGCTTACATATAGTCCTCATCCATCGAAACAGGACTGTACTCTTTTAAAGCAAGAAGCAGTAGTTACAATAAAAAATGTGCCTTTAAGCAGTTATATAGAAGATTATTTAGCCCGCACAATATCTTCAAATGCCGCTAAAGGTCGTCAGGCTATGGAATGGGTTATTGGAAAAATTAATGATGAAGTTCAAGAATTTACTCATAAAACTGTAAAAGGCATGGATGAATTAACTGTGACAGCTAAAAAAAGTATTTCTGTGATGGAGGATTTCACATCCTCTGCAAAGAAAGGAATGAATGACTTAAACCATTTTGCTGAAGGCACACTCCACTTTGAAAAATGATTATTGTGTTCTCTAGGTAATTAATTAAATAGACTTCAAAATAAATGATTCAAATTTAGATTTATTGCTTTCTGTGAAACCTGTTAGGCAACAAATTTATTTGCATACCTTATTTTTATTACTAAAACTGATAAGAAATTCAGTCTGAGTACCTATAATTGGTTAGAGTTTAAAATTCATAATCTCGGTGTGCTTTTGTAAAAAATATTTGCTCAAGCATTTTTATTCTGTAAATATTATGTCTTTCATACTAAATCACATGACATTTTTATAAGTGTATTTATTTCAGGATAATGTTCAAATTTTTCAGATAGTATAAAAATATTTGCTTTCAATTTAAGGGTAATTAATAGCTATTTCAGTAATTTTATATGCATTTGTAAAAAACAATTTACAGTTGTAGCATTTTTAAAAATAGCATGATGTATTTTAAAAACATTTGTAATCTAGTGTAATCACACTTATAAAAGTAACATTATATTCCCATGTAAGGTATTTGTAACAAAATTTGATAAGTTTGTTTTTAAGGTACAATAACATGCCAAACAACTATTAACTTAGAAGGTAAACAACAAAAATCAGCGTTATATTTTCAAATTTTGGCTGTGAAAATTTGAAAATGTTGATTTTTGTTGTTTCACTTTTAAATTAATGTTTGGTTTTGTTAAGCTCTCCAAACCTAAGTGATAGTTCTGATTTTTTAATTTAAGAAGTAGAATAGCATATCTAAGATTAAGTTGTTGAAAAAAAGTTCATCTAGAATAACTACTGATTGTGTTTTAATGTATTTAAAAAACTTTTAGCTGGTGCTTATGTCGTAATTAAGCCTTATTTTGAATGAGCTTAACTAAAAGAGCATTGAGTGATGTTTCAGTGCAATTAATGCCAGTTTTACTTAATGTGTAGTTATATATATATGAGTAATTCAATTATTAATTTTGTTTGTATGTTAGATTTAAAATGCAGCATGTAAGAATTGAAGAAAGTGAAATTGTTTTCTCTTCTAAACTGATAATTAAAAATACTACATGTTTTAAGTTTCTGCTATTAAGATTATTATTAGCATAAAAGCTGATATAAATATATTTTTTTAAATGTTAGCTGTTGTACATTTATTTAAATCAAAACATGATATTCATTTAGAAAATAAAATAGATGTTTAGTTATGTAAATGTATTTAAAAAGTAGGAACGCACTCTTAAAATGAATGATTTTATTCCATTACTCAGTAATATTTGAAAGCAATAATTCTTTATTTTTGTTCTGTATGTAATATATTGAATTTAAAGTGCTCTCCGTTGTAAAAACATGTGTATGTATGTGGACAAGAAAATAAATACGGATAGTTTATTAAGTTTTTGTACTTTTTTAACATTTATTTTCAAGATTACTATTAAATTTCACACTTTTAAACCACAGCCATGTTGGTCAAAAACAAGACTCTGCATACTGGTTTTTCATTTTCTGTTATCATAACATTTCATTGCTATGTTTTTTACACATTAGGTATTTAGGAACAACTTTAGTATTGGTCGTTTTGGCGATTTTTTGATTTGGCGACAAACTTCGGTTGCCAATGTATACCGGCTTTCAAGATCGGAAAAAAAATGGCGGATTGTCAACAAAATCCGATCTAGACTAAATAACAATCCTAAAAAATAAGCTCTTAATCAGAATAATCTGTCTTTCTCTAATTTTCAACATTTCTAGTACAGCTATGATAAATTCATGAAACACTACCGTAAATGAATTTATGGCAGTGATTATGTTATGAGTTATGAAATTTACAAAAGGTTAATATTTTAAATTACAAAATATAATATTAATGTATTAAACATTAATATTTTAAGTAGTTAGTTAATATTTATGTTATATTAGTATTTAGTTAATATTTTAAATTTACAAAAGGTTAATTTTTATGTTATGAATAATGAAATTTACTAGAGGTTCATAAATGCTTTTCAAACTAGTAGTATATGTTACTTTAGTTTCTTAGATTCTGTTATTAAAAGAAAATAAAAAAATATTTCAAAGTGAAGGAAATCAAATTAAATTATAATGAGCAAGTTTTGTAGCAGCGTTAGAAATACTTTTTATGATTAAATTTTGTAAATGGTAAAAATATTAAGAAGTGTGTATTTTTTAATCCCTAAATTTATTACAAGTAATTTATGTTTATAATTTAAAAGCTAAAATTAAATTATCATAATGAGTAAATTTTGTACCAATGGTAATAATACAACAATCATCATAAATGATGATTTCTGTGAAAAATTCGAACAGTCATTGGAATCCACTAGTGTTGAAGTGATAAGCCACTGAACAGTGGTAGTTCAGGCTGGCTATATGGAGTTTTTGTGGTTTTTCGTACATGTAATGTGAATCTGAGCCAGTTTCTCTTAAAAAGTACTTTATAAAGGCATCCTTCTTCTGCTAGCCAGCATATATATTTATTTTCTATTCATAATTCTCTCTTATTTTCTTATTTCTTAATTCTAAATCTTACTTCTGAAGTGAAGAAGTGTTGCATCTATAGGTCGAAAAATATGGTCAATATGTTTGCAAAATCCTGTTCAGTTTTGGACAGCATTTAAATAAAATAAATAATTTGTATATGATGCAAACAAAAATGCATTACACTATTTCATGTAGTGAATAATTAATCAGGGCACAAAGTATAATGTAACATTCTTTATTTTGTAACCAGAGTTATTTTGTGCTTGGGATCTTTACTATCAATTTCATCCATCCATTTTCCCACCAGAATCTAAATGGAAGTTTTTAGTTTGTAAAACAAACTGTATTTTGCCTTTCAAGGCCATGTTACTAGGTTTCTGGATAAGATAAGATTTGCAGTCTTCAGTCTTGCATTGTAATTGCTGATAGTTTGATTTCCATGCCATTTAAGTTTTTAACCAACTTTGCATTAAATTGATGTATTTGAATTTAAATTTTACATTTGAACTTAATTGTTATCATAAGTTATCTTGCCACAAGTGGTTGACTGAGTTGTAAGCACAAAAGTGTGCCTTCTGTTCTGTACATCTAAACATTATAAGAGAATAAAAGTATATCTTAACTTAATAAGAATATATCTAAACTTTATAATAATAACATTTAAAGACATTGAAATCAGTATCTAAGTGCTTGCCATGTAGTCAAATTTTTATATATAAATTGTACTCTTACTTTTATTATAGTTTTTATTACAAAAAATTCAGATTTCTGTTAGATAAAATGTTTAAGTAATGTAGAAAATTGGCATAAAATTTAAAATAAAAAGTCGACTGTTATGTCAACATACTATTAATAAAAGTAATAATACTCAGTGAAGGTTATTCATATACAGCTACTATTAGGTTGTAAGATTTACAAAATTTGAGAACTGTAAATTATAAGCAATATATTCCATAATCTAAGCAATATTATATTTTTTATAGTCAGTCAAATTATAAAAATGTTATAAAAGCAATAATTTTGGTCCTGATTTGAACCTATGAATTCATGCAATTACACATCCCTATAGTTCTAATATGAGGCAAAAAAGTATTTTTAGACCATGATAATTTTGATCTCCTTAGCAAAGGAAACACAAAGAGTTTACCTCATGCTACTGAAAATGTGTTTTTTTTTTCCTTGGGGAATGGAGTTTATAATATGCAGAGTTGACATATGAAAAAATGTCAAGACTCATGTGATGTAATATTAAAAGCATCAGTTTTAACTATCAAATTTTAGCTTTTTTAAAAATATTTTAAATGTTGAGCTTTCCTAACACAAACGTAACTTTAAGAAAAACATGGGAAGCACTTCCGGAGAGAACCCGGTAAATGTAAACATTGCCAAATTTGGCGATAATAGTTCAAACCTGGTAACCCAGCGGATTTATCCTATTCGCTTGTTCCAAGTTTGCAACCATTCCTCTTGCGCTCATTTTGTTGAATGATCACTGTCGTTGTTCGCATTTGCAGATTTATAACTTGAATTTAATAAAAATTTATTTTCGTATATCACGATTAACCAGTTAGTTTTACATCTACATGCTTATTCTCTGAATTTTTACTACCATATGCTTAATATATTGTTTTGTCTGCTAACTTGAATTTACATGCACATGAATTACATGAATCATGAATTTACATGATTAAATTCATAATATCCCAATTATGAATTTATGATGTAAAATGAATCTTTTTATAACACAAAAATTTAATTTAAAATGTTTGATAGGTAATTGTAAATCAGCAGAAAATTACATTCGCCGTTTTTTACATAAAGAACAGTATTCTGTATGCTTTAGTTACTAAAATTCAAAAAGTAAAAAAGGGTGCATAAAATAAGCAAATTTTTCTGGCAGATTATCAACATTAGAAATAAAATTACTACCTTCAGATTTGGTAATTTACGAATTTATGATCCGCATGCATTCAGAAATAATCCTGACAACAAACATATAAATGTAGATAAATTAACTAAAATTAATTAAAGATGTTATAAAATAATCCCGAAATTTGTGTTTCCGAAAGAAAATCACGTTTACAAAATATCACGTTTGCGGCTCGGCTCATCGAGTAAAAATGCAACGACGCCAACGGGTTCCTTCCCGAAGCGCCAACGGGTTCTCTGCGGATGAAAACCCTAAACAGGCAATTTATCCCTCCTGCCATTAAAGCTCTGATACCTACCAAATTCGTTAAAGTTACGTGGACAGAAATGGCGGCATGTTTTTCAGTTCAGTATTTAGGTTACCAAGGTTATCGGACTAATAATAAAGCTGTGCCGAGTATTTAAAATTTGTATTCTGATTGCTCATAGTTCTTTTCAAGCAGACAAAAAATTAAGCGGTTTATTCCTAGTATCCGGTGCACACGGGATTTGGCTACTTTTGGCGACTTTATGATGAGCAGTAAAAACGGGACATGTACGATGAGTAGTAAACAGGTCATTCAAAGAATATATATAGTTATATATAGTATATATTATGTATGTACACACATAGTATATAGTGTATAGTATATAGACGTTCTTTGGATCATTTTTGGTGTTGGCGATAATTTTCAAAATCGCGACGTTCTTTGGATCATTTTTGGTGTTGGCGATAACTTTCAAAATCACGCCAAGGCTGCACCGTATACTAGGATTTTACCAATTAAGCAAGTTAGTTTTCCTTAATTTTTTTCATGTTATGATCTAAAATTACCTCTGTAATAATTATCAGATGAAGTCATTAAGATATAAACTTTTTTAGGGTAGATGTTAAGTTTCTGAAATATTTTTTCTCCACCAGAGTTAACAAGAATTTACTGACATGTACTGTATCGTTATTTTGCAGAATCCATGTAATTCTTTATTGTGTGTAACTGAATGTAACTTTTGTCCAGTGGTTGTGGCTAAAGTTAGTGGGGGTGCTGTTCCAAAAAAAATTAACCTTTGTTTTAAAATTGTCTGAAAGGAAACAAATATGTATAAAAAGAAAATTTATTTTGAAATATCAGGAAATCTTACAATAAAAAAATTAAGCATTTCTTAATTACTTTAACCAAAATTTTTACAGTTCACTCTTTGTCTATTCATTTAAAAATGAAATCCATTCTTCTTGTTTTACTTTGCGCGAAACAATCAATAATTTTCTCCTTGATCTCTGCATGACAACTGAGGAAATTTTTCTTTATTGAAAGCAATGCAAGCGCATTTAGTCTTTCCGAATTCTAGTGCTTCTTAGAACAGTTTTCATTCTTTTCAATGTTGAAAAGCAGCGTTCTGCCTCTGATGTAGTCATGGGAACTCTCAAGAGAATTTTTATCAGTTTCGTAATTCCACTAAGAACATCATCTAGATTATTTTCGAAGATAAATTTCAGTAGCTCATTTAATTTGTATTTATTATTCATGGATATTAGACCTACAATAGACAGTTCAGTTTCAAGCTTTCCTTTGTCAATCATTGGATATGCTTCAGCGGTCAGTACTATTTCTTCTGTAGAATATTCATTCCTAAAACTAGCGAAGCATTTCTTGTTTAACAATTTAGAAGCTGCTAAGTGTTTAGTGGAAGAATTATATCAGTACATAGTATAAAGTCACTTGTTTCCTTCTTCTATTCTTCTGCCATCGGTGTCTTTGGAAAATTCTCACAGTACTTTGAGTTTCTTAATTCTAAGATAGCTGTTTTGGAATTTGTTATATATTCGTTAACTTTAAACACACTAATTTCTTTGATTGTATATTTTTCAACATGAGGCATCTGATAAAAAAGCTCTAACCAAAACTTGAAATTATCATCATTTAGATATTTTAAAATTCATATTGCAAAAGCAATAGGAACAGTTGTTTCATTTGTTGTTCTGCATTTGAT